TGTGTGTGTGTGTGTGTGTGTGTTGTGTGTGTGAGTGTATGTGTGTTTGTGTGTGAGTGTGTATATGTATGTATGTACGTACGCACGTACGTATATTTTTTTCATCTTAGGCTAGTGTCGTGATTAATGAACAGTAACTAACGACGTGATAAAAAAGAAAAAAAAAAAAACACGCCGAGGTTCGAGTTAAACGAATGATGGCTCCCTTGACGTCGTCGGCAGAGAATGTAATGTCAAGGCTCTTCTTGCCAGAAAACCCTCCCTTCAGTGGGCGATAGTTGATCACTTGGCCTCAACCTGCCACGGCGAGCGGCACGAGCGGCGCCCCTTCTCCTTACCTCCTTTTCTCCTAATGCGCGACGCCTTGGGATGAGGTTCTGGGTCTTACTCTGCTCACCTTTCCCCTGTGGCTTGTTGGAGGGTGGTCCTCGTGCCTGGGATTAGGGTAAGGGGGCGTGGTTTGGTTAGGATTGTATTTTTTTTTTTTTTTTCTGTTCCCGACGGATGATGTCGATCAGAATCAATTCATGCTTTTCGTCTTATTTTTTTTCTCTATTCTTAATGGGAGGAAGAGGAGGATAATTCGTGGATAAGATGATGGTTCGGATAAAAAACATATCCCTTCGTTATTTTTGCTTCCCGATACTCGCAATAATCACTGTTAATTCTAATAAATAATAATGAAAGGATAATAAAATAATAAAACGATAATAAAATCATCATATGATAATAAAAATAAGCAATAATAAAGTAATAAACGCCTCAAATGTGCACACGGATGAGACTAATCTGAGTGAGATTTGAGATGTGAAAGAGAAGTCGAAAGTTCCAAGACCTTTTAGTTCATATGAGTTCATAATAAGAGTTTCTTTTTCGTGAGGAGGAGCCGCTCGCTGTGGGTCCTAGGGAGACCGAAAAAGAGGAGCTCGAAAAGAGGAGCTAGAGAGACCGAAAAAAGAGGAGCTAGAGACCGAAAAAGAGGAGCCGAAAAGAGAAGGCTAAGGAGACCGAAAAGTGGAGCTAGTAGACTGAAAAGAGGAGCAAGGGAGACCGAAAAGAGGAGCTAAGACCGAGAGGAGCCGAAAAAGAGGAGCTAGGAGACCGAAAAGAGGAGCTAAGAGAAAAGAGGAGCTAGGAGACCGAAAAGAGGAGCTAGTAGACCGAAAAGAGGAGCTAGTAGACCGAAAAGAGGAGCTAGGAGACCGAAAAGAGGAGCTAGGAGACCGAAAAGAGGAGCCGTACCGAGACTAGGAGACCGAAAAGAGGAGTAAAGGGGTCCCGCAGCACAAGGAACAGCAGGAGTGCGCTGAGGATGATGGCGCGTCTCCAACGAATGCCTCTGAGCCAACATAAGCGACGGCTGCGTCTACAACCCTCGAGCGGTACCATACCTTTTATGGCACCCCCTCCGGCCGGCATTATGTTTACACTCCGCGTGGAGGGTGGGGCAGGGGGCAGGGGGCAGGGGGAGGGAGGGAATTACGTTTTGATGTGGTTCGTTCGTTCGAGAAAAAAATTATATATGTTGTTTTATTTCTTTGCGGTTGCGTAGGAGTTATAGGTGCTTATACTTGTGTTGTCTTCTTGCCTAAGGAATATATTTTGGCGTTATCAACATGGATTATATCGCTTGTTTGTAGTCGTGTTGTCATTAGAGAAATATCTGCAATGTATATCACGACGGATGTGAAAATTGAAATGCGTTTTTCATCTCCATTTTCCATGTTTCTCATTATAAAATGTGTTTTCTCACTATCTACAAAAAAAAAGTTTTTCGTCCCGTTTCATATTCGTAACAGGTAAGAATCCTTTTACCACATAAACGCTTATTTTTCTCCGTTATTTTTTTTTTCCTGTTTCGAAGTGACTAACTCTGCTTTATGTCTTGCAGCTTGATTCCTGCGATGAATATGAGGACCGCAGGAAAATCAGAATGCGCCTCAAGGCTCTCGTGGCCGAAAAGAAAGGTAACGCATATGTTTGGTCGCAATTGTACGCTAATAATGATTTTGTGTTATTAATATTGATTAGATTATGTTTAAATGACATTTGTATGCACTGCATGATATATTCCATTTGCGTAATCATGATGGCTATGTCATTGGGCCTCTAGATTGCAGTATCTCTACAAATTAGAAATTTCATCACTGAAAATTAATGGACATATCTATCTTATAAGTAAATACTATTATTATTCTAAGCACATCTCTCTCTCTCTCTCTCTCTCTCTCTCTCTCTCTCTCTCTCTCTCTCTCTCTCTCTCTCTCTCCTCTCTCTCTCTCTCTCTCTCTCTCTCTCTCTCTCTCTCTCTCTCTCATCCCAAGGACCACTCCTGACGAGCGCTGTTTTCTTGCAGGTCTCCGTGAGGAGCTGAGCGGCCATGACCAGAGTCGAGGGTCACGTAGTCAGACCTCGACGGCGCACTCTCGATTCGAGGCAATGTCCAAATCCGCCACTAGTAACACAAAAGACTCTGATTTGCGTAGCAGTGAGGGTGAGTTGGAACCCATAGTTTTCGATCAGTTGAAAGCGTCCCTTGAGGAATATAGACAGCGCTTTGGTGACGGGGCTTCCTCTTCTGGCGGGACACACGCCGGGGCTAATATTTCAGCGCGTGGGTCCTCCTCTTCTTACTCTTTCCCTTCCAGTAATCCTAAGTCGAGCGAGGAGCACATGTTCGATTCGGGCACGGAGTCAGGGGACGATTCGAGTAAAAACCAGGACGAGCTGGCCGTGTTCATGGAGGGGGTGCGGGCGAACATAGAAGAGGCCGTCCTTAGGAATCGCGGGGGGAGTCAGGGGCAAACACACACAGACGATGATGAGTTTAGCACCGAGTTGATAGGCGAAGTTAATTCAGTGTTAGACAAGTTGAAGACTAATCTTTCCAAGTCGAAGAGCCAGACCTTTTCTGGCTCCGAGGGTCAGGGGGGACAGGGAACGGAACTGCTCTCGCTCATCGACCGCCTCCAGACTTCCCTTGGAGGTGTCATGCAGGACCACGAGGTAGATGAGCAGGGCAGGATGGCAGACAAAGACGGTAATGTAGCTCGCAATCATGATAGCGATGAGGATGGGGATGATGAAGAGGATGATGAGGAATATGAAGGGGAGGATGAGGATGAAGACGAGGATGATGATGATGAGGAATATGAGGAAGCTGACGCAGATATGGTTGTGCAGCACAGCCCGGAGAGGAATGCAAGTGGGGTCATGATGTCTAGTTCCTCGGGCATCTTGCATTCGTCCTCTTATGCCTCTTCAGGGGCAGGCAGTCCTGCTGTTGTCACAGGAGGACTTAAATTCAGTGTCAATCTTAATGAAGCCAAAGGCATTGTAATGAAAGTTGATGAAATGAACCAAGAACATAGTCACAGATCTCGCTCCTCAGACAGCTCGTGCTCAAAATCACCAAGCAAGACCTACAGGACACACTCAGCTCACTCGACACCTTCAAGTGATCGCACTTCTCTCGAAAGACAGGAAAGTCGCAGTGAAGCGCGGGTTGTCCTCAGCTCGGCCATTGGTAAGTGCAAGTCCAGAGAGGAGCTGGTGAGGCAGCCGAGCACCGAGCATGAACACGAGGAGGAAGAGGAGCCACTCCTAGACGAAGAGGGTAATCAGATTCGAGACGGAACACCCGACAGCAGACTCAGTGATCAGGAAGGATCCCGCAGGAAGGAGAGGAAAGAAATACCTTGGAAAATCAGGGCAGCAAAGAAACGTTTTGAGAAGCCAAATTCAAAAGAGGAATTCAATAAAGGAGATTCTGTTACTGCGCATTTTGCTGGCACTCACATTGTTCAGGAACGACAAAAAACTTACCGTGATTTGTGGCAACCAAGGCCAACACCTTACAAATTTCAACCCCTTCAAAGTCGTTCACAGAGTAATGTTAGTGTAATGAAAGAGAACTGGCGCCAGATCATTCATTCAGGCTCGTTGGAGGATGTTGGTTTCATACACAAACCTGTTATTGCTAAATCGGGAGGAATGACAAAGAAAGAATACAGTAAACTTGTGACATCATTTTCAGCAGAGAGTATTAGTCCTCACAGCCCAGCTACCAATATGCCTGTGGAGAAACCTGCAAAGCAGCAGGCCCAGCACGACAGCGATAAGAGTGATTCAGAAGACTCAGATGATGAAGGTGAAGTTTTCTCAATCAAACCTTTTGACAGAGTCGGAACAAAGGCTCAGTTGCCAGGAATATTTCACAAACATCACGAACCTTCCATTGTTAAGCCTAGTAAGGTCTTCCAGAAGCTTGAAAAGCGTGATGTAATGAAGAAGTCAGACTTCTTTGTGGAACAGGCTCAGGCTCAATCAGTTGATGAACAAGACATTAAGAAACGACAGAGGAGTCCTAATCTGCAGCTACAGAAACCAACTGCACCAGTGATTCCTCCTCGTCAACAGTTTGCTCAAGGCCCTGCTGTGCCACCCAAGCGACCAACAACCTTGGCCATTCAACCAACTGTTCCAGACTGTCGACCTGCTGATGCACCAGTGGAGCAGGAGACGGACTTTACAGAGGCACCTCCGCCATTGCCACAGAGGGGTGAGTGTCCTCAGCCACCACCTGTCCCACAGCGAGTGGATTCTGGCTCGGCAGAATCAATATACAAACCTTGTCCTCCGGCACCTGTGTACCAGTTCATTGCAGAGAAGCAACAAGGTTACTTGCTATCAAAGTCTAAGTCTACTCCCTCTATGCCACCAGGAACCACAGAATTCTACAGGCCTCTTGGGAACTTTGCAAGCAGACGCAAGAAGAGCTTTGAAGAAAAACAGAGACTTGAAGGTTTTTATAAGATACACGCAGATAAGGTCGCCAAAGCAAACTACGTGAGTCGAATTCAGAACCAGCTGCAAAAGCAGATATCAGGAGAAGAGCAGGGAAATGTCAGCAAATGGACTGCCTATAAAGTTTCTCGCACAAAGAGTGCCGGATCTGTAGCAGGGATGATTAGTAAACTAGATAGTATTGAAAATGAAAGTGGAGATACTTGGACATACCACCAGTACCACAACAAAATGAACCCTGGAACTGGAAATCCCGGTGATGAGGAAAAATCTTTGGCAGATGATCCAAGCTCAAAGTTGTTTACTCCTGAGATGCTTGTCAAGATCGCCGTCCACAAGGCTGCTATCAATAAGCAATTGAGTTTCGGCGAAGAACAAAGGAAGACTGGGGCGGTGCGTGCTGGCTCTGCTGATTCAGATTTAGCAAGCAACCGCGAGAAAGCCAACTATCGACGTATGAACACAGTCACAGGTGCAGAGGTATCGAGTTCCGAATCTTATAATGTGTGGCAAGGCGTTCACCAGCACGTACAGCAACAGCAGAAGCTAAGGAAAAGACAAGAGGAAGAGGATGAGAGGCTACTGGAATTGCATCGGCAAGAGTCTCTGAAGAAAAAGGAAGAACTTGAACAACAGCAAGAACTGCAAAGGCAGGAAGCAGCGAAGAAAAGGCAAGAGTTACAGAGAAAACAAGAATTACAGAAACAAAAAGAACTGGAGCAACAGAGGCAGCAGGAATTACAAAGGCAACAAGAAGCAGAAAGGAAATTGGAACTGCAGCGACAGGAAGAAGCCCAAAGGCAACTCGAGTTGCAGAGACAACAGGAAGCTCAAAGGCAATTGGAACTGCAAAGGCAACAAGAAGCACAGAGACAGCTCGAGTTGCAAAGACAACAAGAGGCACAAAGACAGCTGGAATTGCAAAGACAGCAGGAAGCTCAAAGACAGCTGGAACTGCAAAGGCAACAAGAGGCACAAAGGCAGCTCGAACTGCAGAGGCAACAAGAAGCCGAAAGGCAGCTGGAACTGCAAAGACAGCAGGAAGCTCAGAGGCAATTGGAATTGCAAAGACAACAAGAGGCAGAAAGACAGCTTGAATTACAAAGGCAACAAGAAGCAGAAAGACAGCTAGAACTGCAACGACAACAAGAAGCAGAGAGGCAGCTGGAGTTGCAAAGACAACAGGAAGCTCAAAGGCAATTGGAACTGCAAAGACAGCAGGAAGAGCAGAGGCAGCAAGAGCTGCAAAGGCAGCAAGAAGAAGAGAGGCAGCGAGAATTACGGAAACAAGAAGAACTGAAAAGACAGGAGGAATTACAGCGACAACAGGAGGAACTTCAGAAGCAGCAACAGGAGTTGCAGAGACAGCAAGAGCTGCAAAGACAACAAGAACTGCAGAGACAGAAGGAACTGCAGAAACAAGAAGAGTTGCAAAAACAGCGGGAATTGGAGAGACAACAAGAACTTCAAAGGCAACAGGAAGTACAAAGACAGCTAGAATTTCAGAGGCAGGAAGAACTCAGGAAGCAACAGGAGATACAACAGCAACAAGAAATGCAGCGCCAGCAGGAACTTCAAAGGCAACAAGAATTGGAAAAGCAACAAGAATTACTAAGGCAGCAAGAAGAAGAAAGACAAAGAGAACTGGAACAGAAACAGGAAATGTTGCAGCAACAGCAGCAACTGAAAGAACAACAGGAACTCCAGATCAAGATGCAGCAAGAGCAAATACTGCGTCAACAACAACAGATACTGGAACAACAGAGGTTAATAAAGGAGCAGCAAGAAAAGCTTCAGAATCAACAAAAGCTTCAACAAATCCAGCAAACACAGCAAGCTTCAACAACATACCAGAGTCAGACTACAGTGCAGACTAATGTCTTCCAAAAGCAGAATCAAAGCTCAGTACAGGCATCTATAGCACAGAAACAGATGTCTCCCCCGCAGCAAGCAGTTTTCCAACCAGGAAAGCCATTAAGTGCCGTGCAACAGGCTGTGCTTGATGAAGAATCACAAAAGGTAGCTGGATCTACCTCAACGACAAGCACAATTTACCAGAGGCAGAAGTCTCAGGAAGGTGTTCGCCCAGGGGCACGGCCACTTACCAAAACGCCCGTCACACGGCAGGGCAGCATCGAGGGCGCCGCAGGGCTGGTCACCGCGGCACTCACCCGCCATCAGTCTCGTGAAGAGCTTGTTCGCCGAAGGAGTCTCTCTGCTTCAGGCAGGACCGGTAGTCAGAACTCCGTTAGCCGTGGATCTAATGTAGATAATGAAGAAGGTTTTTGTGTTGACGATGCAGAGGTGAATGACGATGAGGTGTTTGTGGAGTGTTCCCAGGCCAAAATACATCATGGTGCTACTGGTGTCAATGGCACACCATTCATTGCTCAGGTTATTGGTCCCGTTACTTCTCCACCAGTTCAAGTGCAGTCTCCAAAAGTCCATATGCCACCTCAGCCAGTCCAGATGCCACCTCAGCCAGTCCAGATGCCACCTCAGCCAGTCCAGATGCCACCTCAGCCAGTCCAGATGCCACCTCAGCCAGTCCAGATGCCACCTCAGCCAGTCCAGATGCCAGCCAGTCCAGATGCCACCTCAGCCAGAGTCCAGATGCCACCTCCAGTCCAGATCAGTCCAGATGCCACCTCAGCCAGTCCAAGTACAATTTCAGCCTGTCCAGAAGCAGTCACCAGCACAAGCTCTGCCAAAATCACCTCAGGAGAAGCCAGGACTCCGCCGTGTACAAAGTCAGAAGGGTTCCTCAGGCCCCGAGGTGCAAAAGGTAACATCACCAGACATGGATCGCTCTAAGAGTTCTTCTGTTTCCTCTCTGCCGGAAAGAGCACAATTACCCACCCAAAAGAGAGTCAGAGCCTTCAATAAGAACTTTTCCTTCGATCAGGTATCGTTTGGAAGCCAGAGTTCTGTGTCTTCACTACCAGACTCACCAAAATCAATTGAAAGTCCTGAAGTAGCAAGAAAGGGTATGTTTGGCAGCCGAACCTCTGCAATTAAAGAAACTGATAGAACAAAGAGTTCCTCTGTGACATGTTTAACTGAAAGCTCTAGCAGTGTACAAAAATCTTCTGTAAAGGTTGTTGGTGCTGCTTTCACCCCTGCAACACGTGATACTTTTCGCGCAAAGAGTTCTTCAGTCTCTACCTTGCAGGAGGATACATCAGCAAAGCCCATAGTTCAGAATATCAATGCTCAGAATGTTGGACTTGGTAGGCTGTCGCAGTCACTAAAGAATGTTGCTGGATCAGAAACAAAAGAACAAAGCACATTCCTTCAGCAGGCTAATCAAGGTGGCGCCAATGTTGCTCCTTCAAGGTTGAAAGCAACTGATTATGTTGTGCCACCACTTCCAACAACTGCTATGCGTCAGCAGCAACTTCGGGAACAGCAGGCTCGAGAACAGCAACAACAGCAGCATAAGAAGGTGTCTCGTTGGAACAGCAATCCCGACAACACCATGAAACCCAAAGCAAATGACTTTAATGTCCCCCCTCTACCAGCCACAAACTTTGCTCCTCAGCAAGGAGTGTCAAGGTGGGGCAGTGTCCCAGACTCTGTTTCTAAGCCTAAAACTTCAGACAATATAGTTTCACCTCTTCTCACATCCAGTGACCAAGGTCGTCACCAACGCACTCAATCGTTATCATCCTCTCAACCGTCAGCCATTCCTCCCCCTGTCTCTGGACCCCCATTCACAACAAATACCAAGAACGTTGCATCTGCAGCTCTTAAATTTGACCAGACTGCTACGTCATCGAAAACTACAGGTGCGTCCTCAAACTTAGAACCAATTAGAGAATCAATTCAGCTCAATTCTCAAGGTAAGGTTTCAAGCATGTGGGAATCAGCAGTCACTTCATCAACATCATCTTCATCTTCCAGTAAGCCCTGGAAAGAAGGTGTAGCTGCAGACGTTTCGGGTCGATTTGTCCAAAAGAGTAAGGAAAAACTATTAGAAGGGAAAAGTCAACCTAAAGAGAATGAAACCATCATCGAAAACAAAGTGCAAAAGCAGATTAAATCACAAGTAATGGTAGGGCAGAAAACTAATATCAGCAGTAGCACAGTTACACAGGCAGAGGCCGATAGTATGGGATGGGCAGGTCGAGTTGGTAAATTAAAAGTTGATAAATGGGAAAATACTGCCTCAAAAGAGGAAGTCGTTAAAGAAAAGTCTGACGTTAAAAGGATTGGGAAAAACAAAATAGATAAGTGGGAAACAGTCAGTAAGGAAGATCGCGTTTACGAAAATACTACTGTGATAAATACCGAGGTAGTTAAAATGAGAAATAAGGAAAAGAGGGAGAAATGGGAAAATTTAGCTTCAGGAGAATCAATAGCAGTTACTAAGGAGCGAGAAGAGAGGGTTAAGCGATTAAGCAAAGAGCAAATTCTGCAGTGGGATGGAGGGGTCCCCAAAGCTGAAGAGGGTGTATCAGTTGAAGGTAACCGTGTAAAACGACTCAGTAAAGTGCAATGTGAGAAATGGGAAGCAGCAATGGGTATGAGCGAAAAAACCGAAGAGGAGAAAGCAGTACCATGGAAAGACCCTTCAGCCATCACGTCACAGGTCAGAAAGGAGATCACAAAGTTCGAGGACGGAGGGAGCACGGGATCTCCATGTGACTCCAGGGAAGCATCTCCCCCGCCCAGAGGTATCGTGCGAAGATCGAGTTCAGGTTTGATCAAGAAGACTTTAGCTGCCTTTGAACAGGGTTTACCTGACAGAAATGAAGCAGAACTCACTCCTTCGCCCGGTCTTCGACATTCAAGTTCTGGTTTAGTCAGGAAGAATATCGCCGCTTTTGCTGATATGACAGAATCCGAGGTTTCAGAGGCGTCGAGTGCGGTACCACTACGGCACTCCAACTCCGGCATAATCAAGATGGGTTTGGCCAAGTTTGAGGGTCAGGGCACCCCGGACTCGCCCGCCGACCCTGAGTCAGCATTCTTGGAGAAACGACGAAGCTTCCATGATTCTCACACTGAACGATTCTCTGCTCTCGTGGAGAAAACGGAGCAAGGAGGAACTGTCCAGTCCGTCAGCCTCAAGATCCCTGTGGATCTTTTGCAAGCCAAGCAAAAGAGGCCTCAGAGTCTCGCCTTCTATCCTGCTAATACTAAACCAGAGCCCGCAACAGCAGCTAATATACCATGGGGTAAAGAGCCTAAAAAACGGCAGACTCCATCATCTATTACTCCAAATGCTGTTTATGCGCAAGGGCAGTATGAAGCCTCCATGTCACCCGAAAGTGCAGAAAAGAAGCGTAGAGAAATAGCTGCATTCTTCCAGCAGTCTAGTCAACAGATATCTCATAAGTTAGAACAAAAGTCTTCTGTAGTAGTTAGTTCAACTGTAAGTAAAACAAGCAGTTCAACTGTAAGTAAAACAAGCACCGATCATGATGAATTAGCAGATTCATGGGAGGAGCTTCTCCAGGGGACAGAGTTAGATACTTCGATAGATCAAGCATTCTCGGATGCACTCCTTAAAGATTTAGATATTGTGGAGGACGAGGGTTCTCCCGGGTCAGAGTCCCGTCGCCGAGCTCAGAGTGAGGGTGTAGTGGAAACTTCTGACGATGAAATGTCCGAAGTGGCTCGTGAAGCCAAGACAATGCGTTCGCAAACGTTTCAAGAGTTCTCAAGTCTAGTGGTGGAAGGTCAGAGTGTACAAAGTGAGAGTGAAGACCTCCGTCGACAGGTCCTCACTCAGACACATTGCCTCAGTCAACAAGCAGTTGGTAGTGTCGAGAGCAGTTCGACCTCTGAGGGGCAAGAAGTGCACCTAAGTGACACTTCGGAGCAGGGTGGGGAGGGTGAGCCTCGGGGTGAAGGTGGAGACGATAGCAGTAGTGAAGCTTCTCTAGGTATGTCTCAGGGTTGGACTAACAGCAGCTTCATGGTAGGTGAAACTCGTGGGCACTTACCCATGGCTGACCAAGGCTTGCCAAAGGGCTGCCACTCTTATTCTCGTGCTGACGACGCGGTGCCCATCTATTATAAGACGATCGATGAAAAAAGTCAGCGTCCAAAGTTCCTCAGTCAGATATCGTTTACGTTACAGCTTTGTCCAGAACGCGCAAGCAGTCCCGTAGACAGTAGCAGTAGCGAGAGCCTGGGGAGGTCCGACGGGTCAGACAGCGAGGGAGGGTTTGCGGACGAAGAGGATAATGCAGGTATTGGGAAAATCGCCATAACGAGCCCTGGGCCGAGCGCGCACTCGCCCAGATTCCGTGCAAGGCCGGCGTTCCTCATTCCAAAGATTACCGTGACCGATCTTGATGCCGGAGCCCCGAGCGTGGCAGCGGACAACGCTCCGCCAAAAGACGGCAACACCGAACATTTTCTTGCTGTCTCCGACTCTCAGCAAAACGTCATCATTACGCGGCGCCAGAACACCATTGCTCAGAAGTTTTTCAAAGGGGATTTCAATAACGTATACAGTGACAGACAACGCAGTCCTTCGCCTTCCAAAGAAATGGCAGCCGTCTGCAAAGAAGGATTCGGCGCTGAAATTCCCGTTTCAGTTTTAGAACAAACCGATGCTCAAGACGCCAGTGCCTCGCAGGATACAGACACAGGCGTTCCTAGGGACCCGGAGGACGACGGCGGAGGGGGGTCGGGGGGGACGGGATCGGGGCAGATCCTGGAGTTCAATTTCACGGGTTCGGACGGTCGCAAGTGGACGCGGTCGTATATTCTGAAGATGCGGGGAGAAGGGGAAACCGAGGAGGACGACGTCGTACCGCTAGTCAGCGACGTCCCGGGAATAAAGCCAGTCATTGTCTCGTTTTCCGAGGCTGGTGCGTCTATTTCGACCGGGTCTGAGAGCGCGATGTCACCTTCATTATCTACGTCATACCCACAATCGCCGTCGTCATTAAACAATTTATCGGTCTCGTCGTCGTCGTTAACTTCGCATTCTTTACAGACAAAATCATTCTCGCAATCAAAGTTACAAACGGATATCCAAAAAGAAAATTCGTCACCTTCAAAATCACATTCATTAACCCAGTCACCGTTATCGTCGTCTTTACCTACATCTTCATCTTCATCGTCAGCTGAAAGGCCTTCGTATTTATATTTACCCCATTCGAATCGGCCCACAGAATCCGCTCACTTACATTCCCCATCTAATTCTCCCTCAACCTCTGCCTCGTCACCTTCCACGCCTTCCAGTGTCTCGCCATCAGTCTCGCCACTCATATCACCATCGTCACCGCCGACCATGAGCATGTTACCAGACTTGCTACAAGACTGTTATCCCGTTTCGCCTTCCGATTTCTCCCCTGAGTCACGTGACCTCGGAGAAGTCATTCCCGACTCCGCGGTTTGCGAATTCGTTTACGATCGGGTCGGTGACGACGATTTCGAAAAACCAAAGCAGAAGGAATGCGAATCAGATTTCGAATTCGAGGATGAGTCAGACAGCGAGTCATCATCGTCTGTAGACTCTGGTACGATTATAACCGTCGTTCACAGACCTGCGTCAGGGCAAACCGATATTCAGAATCCAAACTACACTCACGACGTCACGAATCGGACGTCTGACCCTAGCGTAAACGAGGAATATTTACGCGAATCACATACACCGGTCCAGATGGTGTGGGACGAACGTAGCACCCTCGTGGGATTCACTTACATCGATGAAGATGAGGAACACACACTGGGCGTAGCGAGTCACGAAAGAGCCGATTCAGGGTCGCCCGCAGGTGAACCCAAGACGCCCCTCGCCACCAGCCCAGACATCTGGCCTCGCGAACACCTTCCCACGCGAGGGAACGATATAGGCGTTGACGAGCGTGCGATCAGCGACACGAACGTCGGCATGGACGCGTTGAGGGCGAGCTTGAACGAGATGGAAGTCAGGTGGTCAGCCGGGGAAAGGTTCCACGAGCTCACATTAAGTGCTCGACAACAACAACAAGACGAACTCATGTTCGTTGCCTGTGTTGCTCTCTCAGTATATGCACTATTAGTCCTGTGTACGTAGTACAATGTACATGGATTGTTTTGGGCAATTTTTTTACGATTAGAGTAAGAGCTTCGAGAATAAAAGCTTTGACGCTGCTGTTGATGCTTTCCTATGACCAAGTACTACTGTTATATCGCCCCACCTCATGCTACCATATGGCTCTAAGCTTCATTTTTACATTAGAGTACAAATTACTCCGCTTTTTGGCCCATTGATGTACTATTTCTCTCTTTCCTGTAAACATGACTTCATTCGGTTTCATTACTTTTTCTTTTTTGTTTATTTTCAAGCTTCAGATCAACAGTGAGAGGTAAGAGTGTGTAGAGACAAACGTAACAAGCACTGCAGTAGTCTCGACTGTAGGTTGCATACATTTCCAGATCCCGCTGTTGTAGGATTTTTTTACTCTTTATTTTTGTTGCATTTATATTTATATTTATGTGTGTAAATAACCACCTTCGACAATTAAAGGGTCTAATCTAATGTCCCTGTGTGATATGAATAATGTGAATGCATGAAGCCTTTACTAAATATTCTAATAGATTTTGAGTGATTTTTTATGCATTTTACTGATCATTTCATTTGCCTTGTGTGCTTTTTTTTAGATGAAAAAGGTTGAAAGTATTTAAAATGCATTTTTACTTACCTCTCCCTCCCCCCCAAATGTGCACAGAAATTTATCTAGTCATCTTCCCTCCAAAGAGATTTCCAGAAATAATATTAGATAAAAAAAAAGATGTTTGATCCAAGCTGAAGTCCGTCTGCCTTGCTGGAGTCCTCAGTCCGCCATTTTAAGAGGTGGAATGATTAACTTATGGACAACGTGTTTAGTGTTTTGACGTTCTTTGTTTTCTCTCTTACAATTTTTCTTGCTCGTCTCTTTCTCTTTCTCTCTTTTTTATCCTTAGTGACCATCCTTGTACGAAAGTGGAGTTTACATGCTAGCAGAGAAGTCCGTAGATAGAATGCGTTCGAAGTTGTTAGCATGCTTCAGTACTTTTCCCTTTTGCCGAGTGTCACTAGTGCAGTTGATATATGCATATACTGTACATGTTATGTGCGTACACACACACCACACACACACACACACACACATTCTTATATGTATAATATATATATACATATATATATTTATAACACACACACACACACACACACACACACACACACACACACACATATATATATATATATATATATATATATATTATATATATATATATATATATATTATATATATATACATACATATATATGAAAGTGTATTTATGTATATGCGTATATGAAATTACTGCGCTCTCTTTAAGGTGTGGCGTTGTGCCCCGTAGTGAATGTAGATAATTTTAACTGCTTAAGATGTTAATTAATTTGTATAATGTTACTGGAATTAGTTGCTACATGTCTTCTAGTATGTTTAAGAGTTGTTTCATAATTCACCCAAAGCTTTTTTAGTGTGTCTGTACATGATAAACAGAAGAGAGAGAAGCTTAACGTTCACTTCATTTTTATTCTCACCTATTAACGACAGTATATATATAAAAAAAAATATCCTAAATTTGACACATTCACACTTGTAGATTTCCATTCTGATCTTCGCCTCCGTTCCTCAGAGATGTCGACCTTTCGTCCTATAAAAAAAATAATAAATATATAAAAATCTCTCGTCGAGCATGACGCTAGAGCATTCTGACCGATTTAGAGCTCGGAAATCCTCGTGAGATCAGGTTAAGGTGACGGGCTTCGGTAACGGTTATCATGTCTTAAAACTGTGAGTGAGATGACTGGAGGTTTCAGCCTGCCGATCCTTGCCAAAAACAGCTGTTATCATTTTTTTTCCTAGTGAAGACTTAGAGGGGGAATAGTATATATATAAAGAACCACCCTTCCAGTCAATATCCTGTGGATATGTCCCCCCATGCAGTTCTTTTTTATTAACACTGACCGTCTCTTTAACACATCCTCCATCCTGTCGATGGTACCCCGCCTCAGTCCTTCCATGTACAATAATATCCCCAAAAGCCAACAGCAGCCTTTCCGTCCTGCCCTCCCCCCACCCACCCCACCCTTCACCTCCATTGCCTCTCCATGGAGCTTGCTGAAAGTGGGCCAGGTTGTAGTGGCATGTTTGTGTTGTAGATGTGGCCCTGGTTAACGAGTGGTTGAAGGAGAACTTCCCGGATCAGCGAAGGCCAGGTGGCTCCCGGCCAGGTGGGTATTGAAGCGCCACCTGACACTGTATGACACACCTGTGACACCGTATGACACAAACACAACAGCGCCCACACTCGGTACATGCATAATACGATGCCCATTCACAGTCAGACTTCCACGCACATGTACACTTAAATGCACAAGAGTAACAGCTATGCACACGACAAAGACAGCAGATATGCAAGGACAGAGAACAAACATGCACACTAACGAATGTACAGTTGAACATAAAAAAAAACATTTCACTTGTTCATAACTGTTTTTCAACCATCCAGCATGCCAAAGTTATAAATAATTGTGTGAATCTTTACATAAAACTAAATATTATAGTTTATTTATAGTTTATTTAACTCCGTGTACAGTTTTACAAATGTATGATTATCCTTTTTTGATATAAAACACCCTTCCTGTATGAATCATATAATAAATAAAAAAATCTGAATTTTGTAAAGAAAACCATTGAACTCCCTTGTCTGTGGGAACTATATCATAAAAAATCTGGTAATTTTGTAAAGAAAGCCACTGAACTTTTTCGGCCTAACTTTTGTACTTCTTTGTATTGCTTTTTGCTTCTTGCACTTAACTCAGGCGGCCTAAGACAGTGAATAACACCACTCAAATCAGCTTACTAATGAGTGAAAGTAGATGTTTTGCCGGCGACAAGGCATGATAAAGACCCTCTTTAATTGCCACGATTTCCATGTCTGCAATAAGAGAATAAAAGAAAACGTAAACAGCGCACCGCCACTTCCCTTTGTGTCTGCCAAGTGCCTTAAGCCAACACCCTCTCGCCGAGGTCGGTCTGTGATCTGCCAAGGTGGGAAAACGTCAGCACTGTATTTCCAGGAAGAGCAGACCGAGATAGGCAACCACAAGTTATATCGGGATGAGAGAAAAAAAAGAGACGAAGGAAAAGGAGGAGGAGGAGGGGGGGGGAAAGGTAGGGAAATCTTGTCATAAAATTCGTAACTTAGGGATGCGACGATGAAAACCATCTGGGGGTTTTCGCCGTGGTGAATGAACTTTCAACAGCGTGTGCTTAGATACTGAAAATCATGTTTAGTTTGTTTATTCCTTTCCTTAAATGATTTAACGTTGATATCCCAGACGCTGCTACAAACCTGCCATTTCCCTCTATTCCTCCTGTTCCTAAAGCCAGCGTTCGAAACCGTCCGTCAAATCGCGTTCACAAATCAGCGTGCAATTGTTAATCCTTTAAACAAATAAATGTGCTAGATATCAATGGTCACGTAGCACCAAAATCAGCGTGTAATGGCCAATCCTTTAAACAAATAAATGCGCTAGATACCAATGGTCACATAGCACTAAAATCAGCGTGTAAGTATGCGTGAGGGAGGTCACAATCAGGACGATCTTGCAGACAGCGTAAATAGGTTACTGGGTTGTCTTGTCTGCATCTGAAGGGACGATGACAGCGACAAGCTCATTATGGGATGTCATATCTGTTGTCTGCAGTTCGTTTTACTTTTTTTTTTTCGTTCGGGTTATTGTTTTGTAATTTTTTGAAGTTTGTATTGCGTTATTTATTTATTTTGTATTTATGTATTTATGTTTAGCTTACAGTGTTTCATATTCAGATCAAGTTTTATGTCAATTTGTTATTTCATTTTTTATTGTGCTAGTTTTCTTGTTTGTGTGATGCTGCTTTTTTGGCTTATTAGTTCGAAGTTTATTTGTTATGCGAAAAACAACTCGATAATTAGATGTTTGGAATCCAGGTAACAATACGCGTCTTTCACTTTGAACTAACTTTTTATTTGATTTAGCGATTCGTTTTTAAATTTTTAGCATTGAAAAATAAAGATAAAAAATATATATGTATATCATGTCATGATACATTCAGTTGGTGACCTGTATTCTGTACGTGTTAACGCGGACATGATTTAAGACCGCGGTTCCTTTAGGTCACAGAATGTCGCGAAGTATGCCAGACACCTGGTCGTGCGTGCGTCACAGGTCCTGTGGAGTCGTGCCTCCGGGCATTTCGTTCATCTTTTAGCCATTATTTTAAGCAAACATCATAGTTCTTGCGAAGCGAACTCATTATATCCACATAAATATGTAGCGCAAGTCGCCCTAAGCTTTTATCAACTGCTGCAATAATAAGTTTCACCTCATGACAAAGGGAGCCGACTTCCGAGAACTGCTGGCAAATATTCTTAAAGAACATGGCACGGTGCCACCCATTGCCCATATCGCAGCTGTCGCCCGTACTCACCAATTGTCCAAGGCGGGGATTTGGGCGAGCGGATTGCGAGATGGCAAAAATTCCCAATTAGCACGGATCTGTGGTCGACTTCCGGGTGGGTGAGGTTAGATACACCAGCGAGGGTTGAGCAGCACAAAGGGGCTTTAAAGCGTATTATTTTTATTTCAAATCATTGTAGGGCGATGGGAGTATTTGCCAGAAGCTTCGGGTTGGCGAGAAAAAAAACATCCTCTTTTTCCGTGGGATGAGAATACATTCAGTTTAAGGCTCGGCAGTCGAGATAAAGGTCTTAGGGCTACCGCTAAGGTACTCTTGGCTCTGGCGAAAAAATGCGGTCATGGCCGACACAGAATTAACTTCGAAGAAAAGGTATGGTGACCCATAGTGGATGACAGGGCTCCCAGATGTCCAGGTGGCACAGATCCTCTCAACCATGTCAAGAGCGGGGAACCCCATAGCTGGGTACTTCCTGAGACACCAGCTATATCTTGGGCGACGCTCAGCACGAGCCATCAGTTGAGGTGAACAGCACCTAGTGAACGGACAATCACTCGAAAGCCGGCCGCTAACGACACCTGAATACCCTGGACTCTGGTTGTACCTGTCGCCATTCTTGGATTTGCGTTGGGCATTCGGCGCTTTGGAGACGAGAGAGAACATAGCGATTTCTCATCAAGATGGCTTGTGTGGTTGCTTATCCGGGTATTGGTCTCTGGTTTATTTCTTTGACATTCACTGAAAGTACGAGGGAGTGAAGTAGATTTTAAAGCTCTTGAAGAAAATGAAATACAAATAGTTCCTTTTGGCAGTAAAATCGGTCACATGCGGATACTCGGCGAAGAAAATCTTTGAAGGCATGATGCTGTTAGTTCCCCCTTTAAAATTTGTTTTTGTTATTGGTGAAGTCAATTGTGGTAATTCTGGACTAATGTGATCCCTTTAACAGGAGACTCCAAGACTTCCACTGTGTCACCCTTCGGCGTGTCCCGCACCTCCAATACAGAATCTCGAAGCTCCAGCCAAGGTATGTTAAACGCAACTCACTACACTAAATACAGGTGCTGTAGGGGATCCCTGCTGCGTATCTACTGTATGGCATGAGGTTGTCATGTACACTCATATGGATTACCCAAACACACAAATACACTTTCATTTGAGTCTGTCATTGATGATAAGTATGTTTTGAATAATTAATAAAAAAGATATACATACACATGTATATACACATAGTATATACACCTACATACATACATACCTACATATATATACATACATACATACCTTTCATTCTTATTCTCCACATTGACCAAATACATTTACTGAAGGCCTATGCACACTATTCAGTATTTTTACACATTTTTACACAGTCACTCAGATATATTGTCACATATGATAAAAGCACATGTGTATTCAAATTTGATTTTGAATTGATTTCACTGTTATATCATGTGGGTTGATGATAATTGATATATGAATTAACAGAAGAAATGGAGAGAGGCATATACTTTTCTTTTTCTTTTTGTGGTCTAAATGATTTTGGAATAATACCACAGTTTTGTAATAAGACCTTTTTATAGCAAATACTATGGGTATGAAAATGTTCTTTTCCTGTCACTTATCCCTCTTTTTCCTTTTCTTTTCAGTCAATGTCCAAAAGAGTTCCTATTCCTCATCCAGCTCCTCCTATAAGACTTCCTCCTCCATGAGCAAAGGTATGTCTTGGCGAATTAATTTCAGGAAGGAAATTATTTTTCATCCAGCTCTATATTTCTTTGGAGAAAGAAGCTATGAAAATTAGAAATGATGATTATGTAGTTAATGAAGTTTCATTTGAATCGGTATACAGAAAATCTTGAAAGCAGACAAGTGGTAATGGTAATGATGAAGATTGCCTTAAAGTGAGAAGTAAATCAATGTTGATGCTATCAGTGCTATATTTCTTATTATAGTGTCTGAGATCTATGATAATTGTATTATTTTAATTTTGCAGTTGACAGCAAAAAGGTTGTGTCCCCATTTGACAAGTTCAAGCAAATGGACTCGCAGACCCCCCGCACACCAAAGTAAGTCCCTATTAAGAACTGGAGGTTAAGAAATGTACATTCTTCAGTCCATAGTATCATTAGCAACACTAGGTCTTCAAAGCACTATTAGCAAGGGTCTATCCCTATGTGAGAATATTGCTTTGAATTCATTTTGCTGATGATAGTGATATGGTAAAGGGTTCAAACGTGTAGAGAATATGGATGAAATTATGTTTGCTAAAGAAAAAAAAAAGATGTAAGTGGCTGGATATGCTTAAATAGAAACTGCAAATGTCATTTCATCCATCCTATGTTTCTTTTTTCATTAGGGGGAATAGACTTGGGTCATAAATAGACATTGCTTGAAACATTTTGCTTTCAGGGTCACAATACAGGGTGGTTATTGTATATACTGTCATGTATGATATTTATTTTTTTCTTCAAGAAGATTTCAGGTTTAAGCTAGTTCACTTGCTTAATTGTAGAAATGTCTCCTGTGCTTGGTGTACCAGCCTGTTTAGACAGGATAGATAGTTCTTGGAGAGGACAAAGGACAGTCTCCAACATATGTTAAGAGTGCTTTGTGCCATTCATTGTATAAACAGAGCTTTTGGCTATAAAAGTTTGATTATGTTGTACTGCAGAACTTGATAATGTAATGTTACGAATATGCATCATAATAAATTCACACTCAACTTCACACGATTATCAAACTCTGCTTTACTACATTAATCAAAGTGAATGATATGTGCATTGTTACTCTGGGGATATTTTGGCTTAAAAGTAGTCATCAACATTATTACACACATCCTTGAAGATTTTTTACAGGGTATACATTAGAGCATATTTATGTTTTTATATCTTGTTTTTCCACCCATTTATTGAGTATATTGTTTCCTCTTCATATCTCTGTCTTCTCTGCCTGGTTCAGGCTCTCTCCCACACCCTGTATTTGGCCAGGGCATACCTGTGGTGCTTGTGGTATCACCCTCCCACGTCTACAAATTCCCTGTGCTTACCATACACACCTATAGGTTTTCTCCCTAGATGATACAACTGATCATTGGTTCCTTCAAAATCAATGGTTAAAGATTTCTTGGGACAACATCTAACTCCTCCTGTGTTTCCCCCAGTCCCTTCTCCTTGGCCCTGCCAATTATCAGACACAATGCTGCCACAATCAAAAAAATCATCCTAGACTTCTGTAAGAGATCCACAGCAGAGTACGAGAGTAAGGTAGAGTTGGATCACAAGGTTCCCAGTGTTCTCTTAGATAGAACATCGCCGCTCTCAGCTGTCCCTCCACTGTTGGTGTTTGGAAAGATTTTGTTGAAGTGGATGGATTATGTAGCATACTGATTGGTTATGCCTTCTAACCACTCTTTATGATAGTGAAATGAGTATGCTCCATCTGCCATCCAACTGTTCATACACAGGCTTCCCAAACACAACTTCTATAACTTGGTGTGGTTTGCTCTCGACATCTCTTTTTCCAGCTCTGTGATTAGCTAGAGTGGCATCCCCCTTAGAACAGAATGATTACATTAGAGTTCAGCTGCTTCCCACTGCTTTCCTTGCCCCTTAGAGCACACACAGACACACACAGTCTGCATAAAATGTACTATCATGTACAATGAATACAGAACTGTTGACTAATAGTACACCATGAATGGACAGATGTTTTTTTATATAGATCCCTAATAATTGTAATTTATGTTTATAGTGTATCTTCACTGTATTTTTGTATCTATTTGGTTAGATACTGATTGATTGCCTTCCTCATACTTTTGAATATTGTTTGGAAAATGTGATAGGCTATGTTTATAGTCAATGTGTAGATTTAGTTTGTGTTTGTAATATACGTCTGCGTATATAGTGCTGATATATGTGGGTTGAGATATTTTTGTGTGTTTTATGGTTTAAAGAATATTTTGCTTACGTGTCATGAAAAATCTGCTGTTCTATGTGTTTTTTGTTCAGACTTCTTCGCTTTTCTGTCGTTTGTGTGTGTGCAAGTGATTCTTGTTGAACTTTCCTCTATTAACAAAAAATAACAATAGATCTTAGCCTCCCCTAGAGAAAAAGTGTAACTACAGTATAGAGCAGAACTGCTGCATGATTTGTGTAGCACGAGGCACTAACCAAAAGGGTGTCTGCTGGCTGCTCTCTACTGCTGGTGCTGCTACTGCCTGCTGGTCAATGCTGCTTCACGGCCTCTTCCTCCTTCTACAGCTCTAAGTCGAAGTCTGCGGGTGGTGGCCCACTTTTCCAATTATCCAGTCAACTTGGTCGCAGCGCCTCAGGGGTGAAGGATATGCTGCTGACGTGGTGCCAGTGCCGCACCCGCGACTATAAGGTACACAGGGCCTCCATGGGGCTTCATGCATGTAGCCCCAAGACACAAAGTAACACTGCACCATGCAACAAGACGGCAGAAACACTATATTGTCCCATTCCACTTTCAGACAGTGGTAACATTCACCAGTTTTCATGTTTTAGGATATTTTCAAATTTCATATCTCAGGTAAAAGAGCAAAAATGGTCTTCAAAGAATGTCAAAATTCCTTTGATACTTAAAATTTCTGAGGTTAATGATTTATCCTATATTTTCCCCAGAAAGCATCATGTAGACATATTTAAAATTATAATCATTAGCTATGCTTCATACGAAAAAAGGAACCACTATTGGTGCAATGAGAGGCAAGATTATGGCCCTGGTCTTTGCCAGCTGAACACACTTGAATAGCAATAAAACTAATAACCTGAAAGAAATTTATCCAATTTCTATTATAGATGATGAGAAATGTTGACGACAGATTTGGACGAAGGATGAGGAGAATGTTGGGAGAAATTTCAACATTGTCCTGTACATAATACAGCTAGTTTTATTTTTCTGTAATTGTTTGCAAATAGAGTTAGAACCTTTGATCTTTAGGTTCTTTTACACTCTTCCATCCTTGATTATTAGTATACATTTAGGGGCAGTAGTGTGTGCTTGTTTGTAGTGTTTTTTATCATAGTTTATGCATGACAGCACTTAGAGTGAGTTAATGACTTTAAATACATAGTTATCAACTGATTTTTTTGACGTCTTTTTACAGATGAATGTTATATGATTTTGTTTTATTTACTTCTTTTTTGCATCACAGTATTATATTAACATACTACAATTTAAAGTGCAAATTATACTATATACTTATTTATAATATAACTATTTGGAATGATTTTCA